GCTGTTGCTCTGCTCCTGCTTCTGGCTTCCTACCTCCTAGTGGGAAAGCAAACTGCTGTAGTGCTTGCTGTGGTTGCCCTGCTTCCTTGGACACCACAGCAGTTTATTTTCTGGGGTTTTTTTCTGCTTTTCGCTCTTTTTGGCCATGGAGCCTGAGCTGCCCCTGGGCAGGCAATGGCCCCATGCTGCTGTACTGCAGCTTCTGCTGCATCTGCATGACTCTGTCATAAATTTCCTGTCCCATATGGACCCGGAAAGCACCGAGGAAACCCTCCTCTGGGATGCAGGAGCTCTGTTCTTGCCCCCAAATTTTTTGGGGGATAGGTAGATTTGGCGGCACAAGACGAGTTCGGACTGGTGGGACCGGCTCGTCATGCAGCTCTGGGACGATGAACACTGGCTCCGCAACTTCCGGATGTAGGAGGCTACATTCCAGAAGCTGTGTGTCTGGCTTGCCTCTGCTCTGGAACACCAGGACACTCTCCTGCGGCCCACCATTCCCCTGCAGAAGCAAGTTGCAATCGCCCTGTGGAAGATGGCCACCCCAACAGCTACCGCTCCATGGGACACCAGTTTGGTGTGGGGAGGTCTCCTGTCAAGACCGTCTTCATGGAGGTTAGTCACTGTCAGGGGACAGGCCCTGCTGAGGGGGGGTTGAGAAAGGGGGACTGCCAGGCAAGGGCAAGAGGGAGTGGGGGATGGAGTGGCACTTGAAGGCCACTCCTCAGCCACCCCTGCACTGATGCAGGGGAAGGAGGCATGCTGACAAGGGGAGGGGTGGGTGTGTTCTCCTCCCAAGCGCTTAAGTAACCTGTCCAACTCCCTGGTTTCTGTCTATTTGTCTCTTGCTGCAGGTGGTGAGGGACATCAATGAGGAGCTGCTGAAGAGGCTCATCTGTCTTGGGAACCTGGACAACATCATTGCCACATTTTCCGCCCTTGGCTTCTTTAACTGCGAAGGAGCCCTCGATGGAACACACATCGCAATCCGCGCACCTCCCCTTTGAACAGCCCAGTTTATAAACAGGAAGGGCTACTATTCCATGGTGCTACAGGCCCTCGTCGACCACCAGAGACACTTTATAGACATTTGTGTCAGGTGGGCGAGGTAGGCACATGATGTCCGCATATTCAGGAACTCCTACCTTTATCACAGTTGCGCCCTCCATAACCTGGTGGAGAGGAAAGGGGAGGCCTTCCTGCCAGGTTGGGGGACAGGTCCTTATGCTGAGGAGAGGCAATTTCAGCAGCCCCGGATAGCTGCCATCCGCCAGGCTCACCAGGCTGGTGTCCAAATCTGAGAGGACCTGAGGGAGAGATTATCAGAGGGAGCCCACTGACCCTCCTCACCATGGCTTGGCCTGGCCCACCCCTACCTTTCCCTTCACAACCCTCACTCTTTTCCCATTAAGAAGACATATGAGAGCCAGTTTTCTTTGTAAACAGAAATTCATTTTATTAGAAACACTAGCAGTAAAGAAAAAGTGTGCACTGTTTAACAAAACTTTCTATTTTTACTCTTCAACTGTTTATAAACAAAGTAAATCTGTCAATCAAAATTTAAGATTTTGTAACATAACTGAAATGTCCTTTAACTGGGATGGTAGGGTGCTGAGAACCTGGAGGGGGAAGGAGCTCAAGTAGGCTGCTGCTTCGCTGATCGCAGGGTCCTGCCACTTTCTGGCAGCCTGGCATCACCACAGTCTTGGGATCAGGTGGAGCAAGAGCCAGTCCTGGCCTGGGCAGGAGTGCTGAGAACCTGGAGGGGGAAGGAGCTCAAGTAGGCTGCTGCTTCGCTGATCGCAGGGTCCTGCCACTTTCTGGCAGCCTGGCATCACCACAGTCTTGGGATCAGGTGGAGCAAGAGCCAGTCCTGGCCTGGGCAGGAGGAAGGACAGCTGTTGTGCCTGTGAGGGCTCGGGTGCAGGAGGGGCTGGGGCAGATGAGGGGGCTGGAGGAGCAGTGGGGCTGGGGGGAAGAGGAGGCTGGAGGAGCAGGGGCAGCAGGGGCCTGGAGTGCTGGAGGAACGGTGCCCATGACAGGAGCAGGCAAGGTGAAGACCTCCCGCATTGTGGCACAGATGTCAGTGCACTGCTGGACCAGCTCATCCAGCAGCCTGGTGCACTACTCGGCTTCTGCCTCCATCCTTTACTGGAGGGTCCTGTTGAGGTCCTGCAGAGCCACTATGTGCTCCCTCAGCAGGTCCGTGTAGACACGCCAGTGCCTGTGGGTGCCACGGGTCTGTAGCTAGACAGGAACTTTCCTTGTAACATCTATTTTTGCTTGCCTGGAGCATACAGGGCACACAGAGCAGAAGGCCCAGGCTGTGTGACCGTGAATGGCTGTAAACAGAGATACGCCAATTGCTGACTAAGAGGCTGCCAAGGAGTGCCCTTGACTCAAACCCATATTGATACGAACACACATCCATCCACGGGGGGAGGAATCTCTCGCCCAGTAGGTGCCATGGGTCCAGGATGGTGGTCGGGCGGGTGTGGTGCTCTCCTGTTGGACAGCGGGTGTCTAGCTGTGGAGGAAAAGAGGAGGAGACAATCAATATCTGTGTGCACCCCTGCTGTCACCGAGGGCATGCCGTGGCTGTCAGGGTCTCTTTTGGACAGAAGACTCAGAGGTGTTAGATGTGACACCGTATGAGAGTTGGGCAGTGGCCTGAAACCCTCACAGGGCCCCACAGAGGCAATGGGACTAGATGGCCCCCCACACTGCCAACCCACTCGTGTGTGGTGATCCCTCAATGCACTAACCTGATGTTCCCTCCCCGCTGTCCATGGATGCCTGGGAGGCCTCTGGGGTCTGGAGGACCAGCTCCTGGGAGAGGGTCCCTGCTGCCTCCTCTTCCTTCTCCTCCTCCTCCTCCTTCTGGTGCAGCTCCCTCGCCTGGTCTTCCTCCCTCAGGGGTCATTCCACGATGTGGTGGGGTAACCCAGACTCCATCACACGCAGTGGAGTCTGGGCTTCCCCACCACCCAGGATCTGCTCCAACTCCTCATAGTAAGGGCAGTTCTGTGGGGCTGCCCCGGAGTGGGAGCTCTGGTCCTGGGCCTTGGCATATCCCTGCCGCAGCTCTTTAAACTTGGCCCTCATTTGTGCCATGGTCCAGGGGTGATGCCCTTTGGTGGCCAGTGCCTGGGCCAGGTGCTCATAAATGTCCACATTCCTGCGGCATTTGTAGGGCCCGCAGGGCTTCTTCCTGGCTCCAACAGGTTTTTGATTTCTGGCCCTGACCAGGCTGGTGTCCACCTTTTGTGTCCCTGGGTGGGTCCTCGTCTCTGTCCTGAGAATGGCCGGGGGGGCCTTGAGGCTGGGACATGGTTGGCATGGGTACTCTGGCTAGCTGCAGTACAGCAATGGCTGTCTGGGTGCCTGTGCCTTTAAGAGGCTGTGTCCAGGAACCACAGAGGTGCTCTACATGTAAAGGCTAGACTGTCCACTGGGGCCTCTTCTGTTTGTCGACAGAACTGGCTCCCTGTGTCCACACACACCCTTTTGTCGACAGATCTCTGTTGACAAAGGCGTTCTTCCTTAGGGTACGTCTAAACTACATGCCTCTGTCGGCAGAGGCATGTAGATTTGTTTGTTCAGCAAAGGCAAATGAAGCCATGATTTAAATGATCGCGGCTTCATTTACATTTACATGGCTGCCGCGCTGAGCC